GGTCACACTGCTCTGAGGAGGATTGGGGAGACAGGCACCTCATGAGACAGGCACTCTCACCTGCCTCCTCCTCCACCTTCCCAGGAGTCTCACCCTTGTTCCTTAGCCTCCCTCTCTTTCACCACCCAACTCTCGACTGCTGCCTAGAAGTCATCAAGTCCTCAGCCCTCACATCTTTCCTAACTTCCCTTTCTCCAGGGTCAGTTGGTCCTGTGGCTTCCACAGGAAGCAGGGCATATTAAGAGGACAGTGATGTTAGCTGGGGCCCCCTCTCTCTCAGGGGTCAGTTTCTGTGCCAGTAGGCAAAGTGGGTCCAGCACCCTCAATGGGTGTCAGACCCCACTCAGCGACTGGCAGGGGCAGCCTAAGTATACTCCCTGACCCTCAAACGTCCCCCCTATCGGCCCACCCTCTAGTCATCTACATTAGATGCCTTCTCAAACAGCCCTCACCACACCGCTTTGGGTGCAGGTTGCGAGGAGGGTAGCAGATAAATAACGCAATGAGGTGTCACTGCAAACAGTCCTGGAGAGGAGTCAGGTACGTAGGAAAGGTGGGGAAGAGGAAGGGTCAAGGGAGACTCCGCCACGGGGGTGTTGTGTAAGTAGGGTTCCCATCTATGCTACTCGCTCCACACCACCCTGCACACGGCTCCCTCTGGCACCCAGTATAAGGCACGCTGTGTGGGGACTGGCTCTGGTGCCCATCAGAACCCATCAGAACAGGGTCCCTTGTGCCTCCAAGTCCTCGCGCAGAGCTTGGAACAAATTAGTTCCAAGAGAGCACGTCTTTCCCTTCCTCAGTGGGAGTGACAGTATTAAGTCCCTGTTAGCTAGTGACCACTTCCCCGCAGACCATCAGCCGACAGCAGATTCTCGACTGCGGATGCGAGGAGCCAGGGCCACCCTTCCCACGGGGTCTGATCCCGCCCCGCGCTCCCCTTCACACAAGCGGCAGAAACGCCACCGCTCCCAGAAGCCCCGCCTTCCAGTCAGGGCCACAAGCGCAACCCTTCGGCAGAGACGAACAACTGCCGCCTGGCTCCTCCCCGAGGCGGCGGCGGCTCGCCAGGGCCTGGTGGGAGGCCCGCGAAGGGGCCGGATTTGGCGCAGGGTACGGAACCCAAAACGCATCCCGGACATTCAAGCCGCACCGCCCTCCCGCGCCCGCCGCCGGAAGTAGCTGCCTGCGGGCCGGAAGCAGCGCCCGTGGGCCGGAAGCTGGGGCTGCAGCCCGGCCCCCCCTTCGCTCCCACTCCGCCTCTGCCTCACGCGACCTAGGGCCACGGGGCCCCGCGAGCGACCGCCGCGTCTCCAGGGGTCCCTCAGTGCCCTGGTCGAGCAAACGACTCGTTCGCGCCAGCTGAGCGAAGCCCCGCAGTCACAAGGAGCTCACTTACAAGAGCTATCGTTGCCGTCGCCATCTTGCACCCGTCGCGTCCGCTGAGCGCGCCACACGCTGCTGTTCCCTCCGCGGTCTCGCGCGATGTTGGTGCTAGTGGAGATCTTCGGAGAAAAGACGGAACTATCGCGATAAAAGGCCCTCTCACCAACGACGTGGAAGGAGTAATGAACACGCTTCCAGGGCGGAAGGGGCGGGGCCCAGGGCGGAGGGGCGGGGCCAGGGCGGGGCGCGTGCACTGTGGTTGCCCGCCGCGGGCTGAGGACTCTCCGTTCTGTCCAATCAATCAGCACCCGCTCCTCCATTTCTTTTCCTCCATCACAGAAAAACTCAGGTGCTGCCCTCCCCATCCCCGCTCCCAAGAGCAGGACAGAGGACGGCCGGGCCCCCTCCAGGGCTGAAGGAGTCCCATCCGCCTAAACGATCGTGAGAGGCGACAAAATCGCTGTATTTCCAAGTCAGATCTCGAAGTCAGGATGTACCTACCAATGGCTAGTGTGTCCTCATTTAATGGACGTTTTCTCTTTCCTAGTGGTTCAAAAACAATGGTGCGTCTTAGAGCGATGGTATCGTAGGTTCAGTGACATACGGTCGGGAGAAATGGAACCCTTCGGAAGGGCATGCATTCCGAGGCCCTTAGTTGCTCAACTAATTCCTGAAGGCTCAAGACGTCCCTCCCTGGCGTGGAGCTGCCCTAGACTCTTGCCACTTGTGACACTCAATACCAAGACCCTAACTCTGAAGAAACCACATTTGTTTCTTGGGCCCTGGGATTGTCAGCCTACCAGTTTAAACCCGACTGACCCAACAACAGAGGGTCCTCATCTAGATAGGCCTCTTCTCAAAGTTTAAAATAAAATAGAGGCATGGATAGTTAAACGTGGCAGAATATTTCCTCTTCTTCCTTTCCTCTAAAATGATGGGACAATGACCCTGGCTGGTGTGGCTCACTGGACTGAGTACCAGCCTGGGAACCAAAGGGTCACGGGTTCAATTCCCAGTCAGGGCACACCCTGGGTTTGGGGACAGGTCCCCAGTAGGGGGCGCTGGAGAGGCCACCACACATTGATGTTTCTCTCTCTCCCCCCTTCCCTTCTGCCTAAAAATAAATAATAAAACTCTTTTAAAAATAAAATGGTGTGAAAATGATTTGATAAAGGCAAAAAACCCATGAAACAAGGCGGAACATTGTGGAGCTGAAGGAAGGTGGACAGCGGCAGAGGCTTTAGGAGGCTGCTGTTGTGTCAAGGGATCAAGAGTGAAAGTGCAGTTGGTAAAGGAGAAGACCCCAGGCCCCTGTGCCTCCCGGCAGTGGTGGGGAGACAGCTGCTAGCAGAGGAGCTCTGAGGGCAGACTGCTGGGGCAGGTGCCGCCTGAAGGTGGAGGAGCGAGTGTGGCTCCTGCCCTTCCACCCTCCGCCCGCAGCCCCTGGCTGTGAACCTGCCCCCCCAGCATGTGCCACTAGGACCTCAGAGAGGAGCATTCCTCTGCATCGGGTCCAAGCTCAGAAGAGAAAACTGATGGCCGCAGGGTGAGGGATGCTCAGGGCGCTGGCCCGGCCGGGTCCCTGGTGTGCGCTCACCACGCGGCCGGTTCCTTGGCCACCATCATCTCACTCTTGTGTTTTCCTCACTGATTTCCCCAGGTTTCCTCTCTCTCAATCTCTCCCTGTCTCTTTTAGTCCTCACCTAAGGATATGTGTACTGATTTTAGATAGAGAGGAAGGGAGAGAGACATCAATGTGAGAGATAAACATCCCTCAGTTGCCTCCTATCCGTGTCCCGACTGGGGATCGAACCTGCAATCTAGATATGTGCCCTGACCAGGAATCGAACCCGGAATCTTGTAGTGGATGAGACGATGCTTCAAATAACTGAGCCACTTGGCCAGGGGTTGTCTCACTCTTAAGTGCAGCTGGGCGGCCTAGGATCACCCATACCTGAGGAAAATGAAGAAGACAAGGGAAAGGGACTCAGAAGGAACAAAGACAAAAAAGCAAGAAGAAAAAGAAGAAAAGCTAAAATTACGTCCTTAGCAATAGTGGAAAGGATGTTGCATCCAAAAAGAAGAACTAGAGGCTATACAGAAAGATCACTCAGCAAATGACAACACGAGCTTACGAATCAAAAATATGAGAGGAAAATGAACAATTCAATAGAAGGGTTGAAAGATAAAGCTGAAATCTTTCAGAATATATAGCAATAAAACCAGGTAGCTAGCAAACAGAAAATGTGGTCATTATCCAGCCGGTCAGTTCTGTCCAGTGCTTACACCTGGCCAGGCACCTCCGGCCTCCAAATGGGATGACGGATGAAGTGGCGTGGGGCTGGGATTCGCTTTCCTCCACCACGGGTTGTGTGTGGCCCACAAACACCCACGGGTGGCAGCTTCCCCTGTGAAGCTGACACACACCTGTGGCAATCAGAGTGCCTGTTTGTGGCTGAGCCCTATTCTCATTCCACACCTCACCTTGTGTGACCCTGAGAACAACCCCTGGAGTGGGTGCTGTTATTACCCCCGTTATCCCAGGTGGGAGAGGGCAGGCACTGACCAGCATCACGTGGCAGGAAGCAGACAGCTCCAGGCCTGGGCCCTGGCTACCTGGGACTGCACCTCTCAGGAGGCAGGCCCAACATCTAGATGATGGGAGGTCCAGAAACCGAGGAGACGGGAGAGTTCCACGAAACACAAGTAGAGAAAAAACTTCCAGAGCTGTAGGGTCGGGGTCTCTGAACAACTGATGGAAGGGGTCTACATCAAGACATGTCGTTGAGAATTTCCAAAGCACAGGATTGAAGAGAAGATCAAGAGCGAGACAGAGACGGAGAGAGAGATGGGCAAAGGGTCAGAACTCAGAAAGGCACAGAGTTCTGGGGACTAGAAGAAAATACCTTCCACGTCCTGGGAAGGACCTTCGGCCTTGCCCAACTTTTGTACCCCGTCACATGGACGAGCAGGCGTGGGAGCACAGTACGAACAAACAGGCAGAGTCCACAACTTTCCATGCATCCTTTCCCAGGAAACTTGGAGGAAGTTCTTCCTCAAACAGGGCAACAAGGGAAGGGGAACGCGTGGGGCCCAGAGACCAAAGGAGCCCCGGGACGCGGGGGCAGGAGGAAGCCGTGGGACCGCTGCGCCTCCGGTGCCAGACGAACAGCCTGGGGTGCAGTGGGAGTGGCGGGGACTCCAGAAGGTGAAACTGAGCAGGCACTTATGCGACAAATCCCAAGTGCTGAGTTCATCCTTCTGCAGGAAAACGTGAGGATGAATTGAGGTGTGTATAGAAAACTATTTAAACCTCCAAAAAGGCAATTATTAACTCCAGGGAAAACACAAAGTTGTGCGAAAGAGCAAATATAACCATGGAACACCTTGTTCTCTGCTAAGGCCTGTGGTGACAAAGCTGTAATAACACCTATTCCACTGGATGGTACTAGGTCAGGGGGTTGAGATCAGTGACCATGCCCCCCAAGAGGACACCAGCAGGGGACACCTAATGTAGGAAAACCAATAAAAAGCAGTAAAAGCGTGTGTGTGGTTTTTGTGAAGCGTGGATTTTAAATGTTGAAGAAACAGCTAAGAGTGAATTTGAAAAGAACCTGGGTTGGCAACTGCATTATTTATTATTATTATTATTATTTATTGGCCTAAGGAAAAAAATCCACTGTTAAAAAATAATATGCATATAACTTGGAAAAGATAAAAGTTAAAAAGAAAACCTCCACGTAGGCTTGACTAAACGAAGCGATGGCCGTGTGCAGCGCTCTGAGTCCCGCCCAGTCACGGCGCAGCCTCGCATGCATTCGACACCAGACTGTGGACGTTGATACGAATGAGTCAGACGGCTTAGCATCAGGATTTCCAACTAGGCATGTAGGTTATTTTCGATTTGTAATTTTAGGTTGAAAGGTGTAAGAATTTGAATAATTTTGTAGAGGGTGGAAATGTTTATGATAAGTCATTATATTTGCACACTTAATTTATTCGATACGCCTTGGGAAGTTTGTTTTGTCTTAGGTTCGGTTAGGGTGCTGTGGCAGGTGGAATAATGGCACCCATCCCCGACGACGTCCCTGCCCTAATCCCTGGAAAGGACCGTGGTGTGGGGGCCCCCTGGCCTATCCAGGCTCAACCTAGTCACAGGAGAGCCCTTCTGGCTGCAGAAAATCAGACAGGCGGTTCCCGAGAAAGACACAACCCGACATTGCTGGCTTTGAAGATGGAGGGTGGGGCCATGAGCCAAGAACAGCAGCAGCCTCCGTAAGCCGAGGGTGGCCTTCGGTTTACAGTGGGCCACAGCCCCACCACTGCAAGGAAAGGAATTCCTGCCCAGCACCCAGCACCCAGCACCCAGCGCCATGGCTGACCCCACAAGCCAACAGCCGCCTTGAAGGGACAGCAACTGGATTCTCCCCTGGAATCTCCAGAAGGAAATGCAGCTGGCTAACACCTTGATTTTAGTCTGGTGAAACCTGGGCCAGACTTCTGACTTATACAACTACAATAAATTGGGGTGGTTTTAAGCCTCTGAGTTTGTGTAACTTCCTGTAGCAACACTAGACCACTGATAGAGTGGTCAGCTTTCTAAGTTGGCATTTGAAATGCTTTGAAAGAACTCTGAATGCACTAAATTTATACATGCAATTTAAACTGTTCAAGAATGTTTACGTTTGAAAATGGAGGGGAGGTGGTTCAAGAGAAATGAGTCCAGGGCAGTGGGGGCTGGTGGGAGGGGCCTGGGGAGGCAGCTGCTGCGGGGAGAGATGAGGGAGGTCCCTGGGGGGCGGTGGCCTGGAGGAAGCACAGCGAGGAGCCGGGAGGACACCTGACTGACCTCTCCGGACCAGGGAAGGCAGGAGAGAAAGGAGCCCTTGAGGGGCCGCAGGGGCCGGGAGAGTGTCCACAGACGGGATGGTGATCCCAGCCTCAGAGCAGTGCAAAATCAGAGGGGGGCTTTAGGGAGGTGTGCGCTGGACATTAGACGGGGGTGCCAGAGCCACACGGTGCTGGGAACTGGGGCTTCCTGCGGTGTCCCTGCCTCTCCTGCCAGGTCATGGCCCCGCTCAGCACCCAGCACTGTGCCTGATGCCTGTAGGTGCTTCACCACTGACTTGAGGTGGGGATTCCTTTGTGTGGATCGGTGTTACCCCCAACTATGGCTCCCTGCAGGGCGGCCTTCCCATTTGGAGGGCTCAGTCACTTATCACACAGCTTGGGGGTGGACGGGACTGCTGGCCGGCAAATGGAGGCTGTGGGAAGGAAGGGTGAGTGTGGAGGCAGGCTGGGTGAGGGGTCCTTGACTGAAGGATATGTGTGGCCTAATCATGCCTCCCACCCCACTGATGGGCTCCTTTGTGGGCCCAAGCCCACCTCCCTCGACCCTAGCCAGGGCCTCTGAGTAGCTGTGCAAGGTGGAGGGAGGGTTCTCAGTAGCAGGTGTGAAGACGGGCACGGCTTCCCGACGTGGGTGGCCAGGTGTGCTGTCATGGCTAAGCTCCTCGATGCTTGCGGAAGGTGCTCTCCAGGAAGGCGGCCAGCTTAGTCCGGTCGTCCTGCGGGGCAGGAGGTTGGCATAGGGGACCGGTGCAGCCCACCCCTCACCCTCCCAGCCTAGACACACCCAGCCTGCATACCTCGTGGACAAAGCCGTAGTGCACGAGCTCGGTAGCGAGGTCCTGAGCACTGTCGGCTGTGGCAGGGGCGCAGGCGGGGGCGTAGGGGGCGAGGCGTGAGGCCATGGCACCCCCTGAGCCCACCCTGGCCCAGGGTCCCCATCTGGGTCCCCGCCCAGCCTACTTGGGAGCAGGTCATAAGTGAGCTGCCGGTGCAACCGGTCCTCCAGCACCAGAAGCAGAGTGAGCTGGGGAGGTGAGAGGGCAAGGTCAGATCTCCAGTCTGCCCTGCCCCCGCACCCCCCCTCTGTTCACCAGCCTGGGGCCCGGCTCACATGCCAGCGCGCCTTGTCCTCGCTTCTCTCCAGGTTACACTGCATCTGGATCACCTGGGGGTGGTGGGGGCCCAAGGTCACCCACAGAGGCTCATACTCAGCAACTGAGGAGCAAGAGCAGATGTACCTCAAAGGGGCCCCGAGAGGCAGTAAGGATGGGAAATGGGGACAACTTCTAAGGGGAGACTAGAAGGCTCCTCTAGGGAGGACGGGGAAGGCTTCACGGCGGAAGAGAACGCCTGACCATGAGGGAGCTGTGGGACGCAGGGGGCAGGGGGAGGCCCAGGCCAGCAGGCTACGACAGAGCGGCAAAGGCAGCGCGGCGGCACAGGACGCCAGCTGGACCCGCTGCACGGTGCTCATGGTTGGCGGAGGACCCCCACGATCTCTGTGGGTAGCTCTGCCTGTTGGGATGTGACTCAGGCTGCAGTGTGGCGGGGAGCCAAGAGGAAGGAGGCTGGCCAGGCGAGGGGCAGGTGGCGCATCAAGGTGGGGGACGGAGGTGGCCTGGATGTGAGCTGTGGCCATGCAGACACACCCAAGGGCAAAGCTGGAGCCTCTGGAACCCAGGGGCTGTGGCCATGGGAAGGGAGACAGGGGACTCCTGGCAGGAGGAGAGGTTGGGGAATGCGGTAGGGCAGCACAGAGGAGTCACGAGGACAAATGTCAGGGAGTCAGCAAGCCAAGGTGGGTCAGAGGTGGGGGAGATAAGATTTCCTGATAAGAAATGCTCTTGGAGCTGGTGGGATCAAGGGGACAGCTTGTATGGGACAAGCTCAAGGGGTCGGGCCAGGGTGTCTGCAGGGGCAAGGAGTCTCTGGGAAAGGGGGTATCCCAGCTTCTTGTAACACCCCCCAACTTCTGCCAAGGGGTCAACCAAGACCTGGTCTCTGGCAGCCTGGAAGAGAGCTGGGCTGGGGGGACTCAAAGGCAGGCATGAGAAGGGTACCCCATTGGGCAGTAGACAAGGTGGGGGACTCACCTTTCTGGTCTCTGAGTCAAAGGGTTCCGGCGTTGGGGTCTTGGCCTTCTGGGCCTCCTCTGGGGGTGGGGCCAGGACTCGGGGCAGCCCCAGGGGCCGAGCAGCAGCGAAGTTCATCAGTGGATAGATCCCGTTTCTGGGGACACACTGGGGTGGCTCGGGGCTCAGGCCTGGAAGTCACCTGTCCCCAACCTCACACCAGCTCTCACCTGACGTCCTCCAGGAATTTGTCCAGCTCCAGACAGGAGACCTCTGAGTACCTGGCACAGGCATGAGAAGCACATGAGAGTGGCCAGCCGGCCCGCCCTGCTGGTGGGGCGGGACTGTGTGGGGGCTGGCCAGGCGGAAAAGGGGTCCTTGGGGCTACAGCTGCTCACCGCCACTGTAGCGGGGGCCGGGGGGGCCGGGGGATCTCTGCCAGGACTGCGTGAAGGTCCATCGACTTGGTCTTCTCCTCCACCACGTTCTCGGGCATGAGGTCTACAGGCCACAGGAGCACTCAGGGTGGTGAACCCCGAGCCACAGACCCCGCGGGTCCCCCTTCCTCATCCCACCCCTAGGCGGCCTGCCCCTCACACTGGTGCTGGATGAAGCAGTGAGCTGCCAGGAGCTTCAGTGAATGCACCTCGAACAGCACACGGTGGAAGAGGAGGTTGTGGGCAGAGGGCCGGCGGGCAGGGTCGCGGGCCAGGCAGGAGAGAATGAACTCCTAGGGGCATGGAGAGGAGAGGCCGACAGCTGTTTTGGTCCCACAGTATGGGGGTTTGAAACCCCCAGGTCCCAAGGGTCCAACCCCCCATGGAGCCTGCGTGCCTGCCTACATAGTGGGGCAGCCTGGACAGGGTCAGGCAGCCCGGGTCTGCACCTACAAACAGAACAGTCAGGCCCTGCGCTCGGAACTTCTCTCACCCCTCACAAAACCCCAGGGGGGGGGGGGGAGTTGGTGCTGCCGTGCCCCGTTCACAAAGGAAGTCTGCTCCGAGTGCCAGCAGACCAGCCCAGGCCCCTGAAGGTCACGTGGCCCTGCACAAACCCACAGCCTGCCTCTCTGCTGCTCGTCTGGGCCAGGCCCAGCTCCGGAGGTGACCTTGATGGGTCCTTGCTCCCCACACCCATCCAGGCCCTGCACGGCCTCTGGTGTCTATCTCGGCTCCACCTCCTCGCCAGCCCATCCGGGCCCATCACTTCCCTCTCGCATCCCCAGAGGCCACGTGGTTGAGCCCGAGAGTCCCCAGACTCCGGCCGGAGGGGCTGTGGATGCAGCTCCCACCCCACACTCCCTTTGCCCTGCTGCTCACCGTGCCTCCCCCCTCAGCCCAAGTTGGAACCACGTTACCTCTAGCCTGTCCTCTGGAGGCTTAAATGCAAGGACGTGGAGCCAGGCAGACCTGGTGCAGACACCGGCTCTACTACTTACTCTAGAGCCATGGACAAGGGACTCGGCTGCTTTATCTATAAAACGGACAGCACAACAGCGCCCTCGCACTAGGTCTGCGTTCCCCGTGCACCTGTGTGCCTAGGCCTGGAACTCAGCCTGCAGTCTGGGTCAGGCCTCCTGGCAGGTGGGCCTGCACGTGCCTCGGCAGCACTGACCTGTTGCACCTCCAGGCCTGCCTGAAACACCCCCCCAGCCCTACCCGGAGGGGCAGGCAAGCTGCTTACCCGCATGTTGGGGTCACTCAGCGAGTGCCTGGCGCGAGCAATGGCCTCCTCTGTGACCCTGGTGTCTCCGTTGGCCTGGATCTCTAGCACAGCCATCTGGAGACAGGGCCAGGAGGTCAGGTGTCGGGGAGTGACAGCACAGGAGAGAGGGGTGCAGGGAGCTGGGAGGAGGCCAGGTCAGGAGGCTGTGGGGCTGGTACCTCCAATGCACACATCCCGAAGGAGAAGATGTCCACAGCGGTGCGGTCGGCCACCTCTGAAAAAGGGACAGAGACAGAGCGTCTCTGTCCCTCTTAGCTCTGCACACTGGGCGGATGCTGTGCCGGGGGGCGCGGCCTCCTGGACTCACCGCCATACTCTGGGGGGAAGAAGTGCAGGTTCCGCGGTTCCTCCTGCTCGGTGTGGATGGGGCTTCGGAGATCATCCGGGAGCGCTAGGGCAAGCGCAGGGATGAGCAGACCAGACCTCTCCATGTCCCTCCATCCCCCAGGGTCCCCACGCACCATTGGAGAAGATGCGGTGCCACACTGCGCAGGGCACAGGGGAGAAAAAGCGGAGTCAGTGTTATGGGGCATCAGGAATCCTCCGCTCTCGGTTCCGCTGATCCCCCGGTTCCTGGTCCCCCAGCCCCGCCCCCTGCCCTGCCCGCACCGGAGCCGATCTTGATGAGGCCGTTGTGCTGTATGAAGATGGTGTCACTAGTCAGGTTCCCGTGGATGATGGGAGGGCTGCAGGCGTGCAGAAAGCTGCGGGTCATGGGAGAGAAGAGCAGGCAGAGCTGGGTCAGGGGGCGCCAGGAAGGCGGGGCATGGGGGGCGGAGGCAAGGGCAAGCCCAGGCGCTCACCTGAGCGCTGACAGGATCTGCGTGCACCAACGCTTCCAGGCCTGTCGGCGGACGCACTCGGTCGGACCAGCGGGAGAGGTGGCTGGGCCTGTGGTGCCCCCATGTGCCCTGGCCCCTCAACCCCGTTCCTGTTCCCAAACCGGCCCCATGCCCCGCGCCCCTCGCCTGGCCCCATCTCTGTCCTGGATGGTGCCCTGACCGGGTCCTATCCTGGTTGCCAACCCGGCCCACTCCCCATACCCGGGCATTCATGGCCTTGTGGTTCTTCTTGGTCTTCTTGAGGAACTGCTTGAGGCTTCCCGAGGACACGTACTCGGTGATGAAGATGACCTGTGGGGCGGACGGGCTCTCCGGCTTGCCGACTGCGGGCAGGCACCCGCTGCCGCCCCACCCGCCAGTGCCTCGCCCGCCCCTGCTGTGCCTGGGGCTCACCCTCGCGCCTGCCTCGGAGGCATCCAGCCAGTACTTGTGCAGCTTGACGATGTTGGGGTGGTCAACGAGCACCAGCTGCTCAAACATGGTCTGGATCTTCTCCTGGGAAGTGTGGGGGGGGGCGGTCACACGGTGGTCACAAGTGGGGTGGGGGGTGGGGGGCATGCTGCACAGGCCTCACCTCGTGTGCAGAAAAGGCCTTTCTGTCACTGAAGTGCAACTCGTTCCACACCACCTCCACCCCCTCTTCCGTGTCCATGGCCAGGAAGGTGCTCTGGACCCCAGGCATGTTTCCCTGGTTTACCTGGTAGTGGGGGTGGGAATATGGATGTGCTGTCAGGTGTCAGGGCGGTGCAGACTTGATCTCTTTCCACAAGCTGGTGATGAAGGTCCTGGCCTGCTCTGGGGGGAAGCTGGGGGCATCCGTGGGATTTGGAGCAGATCGCAGGAGGTTGAGGATGGTTCCCAGGGGGCTAGTGGCTGGTCCCAGAGGCATGGGGAAGTGATCCTGCCAGATTGGCCCTTAGGGAATCGGGGTTCCTCACCAGGCATGGGGGCCAGGCCAAAGGGGTGCAAGAAGAAGGTCGCGCACTGAAGGCTGCAGAGATTTCGGGCCTCCTGTTCTCCAGTTTCTCCCTCGCCCGCCCTCCTCCTGCCCACCTGCTCCCGCCGCTTCTGCCAGCGGCCGCACGGGCTTTCCTCCAGGATGTCGCTCTCATCTTCGCTCTCCTCCTCCCGCTCCCGCTCCCGGCCCCGCCTGGGCGCCGGCTCCGGAGCCGCCATGGCTTGGCGGGCCCAGGCCGCCACCCTCCGTGCGATCTGCCGCCGCCGCCGCCGCCGCCGATTCCCGCCCGCCCTGGCCCGGTTCACAGAAGCACAGCCGGGAGCTGAGCCTCCGCTGCCTCGAGCCTTCACCCAAGCTCCGGGAATTGGGCGGCTCCAGTGCGCGCCCAGGGAGGTGGAGCCCGCCCGCCCCCGCCTCCCCCCCCAGCCACCTCCTCCGGTTGGAGCCGGAGTGCAGCTTCCCAGTGGAGGGCAGAGCCCTCGCAGCCCCCGGGAAGGCTCCGCCTGTCCGCGTCTCCCGCTCCGCCCCGGCGAGCCCCCACCTCGGAGCCACGCCCGACCGGAGGACCCTCCCACTTGAGGCCCCACCCCGTTCAAGGCCCGTCAACAGGAACCCCGAGCTACTTTGGCCACGCCCCAACCAGGCCACACCCATTAGTTTTATGGCTCCGCCCTGTAACCGCCTCCCAGTCCACGCCCCAGCACTACACCGCGTCTAATTTACGGCACCACTTTATATAAGGCCCCGCCCCGGATTAGGCCCCGTCCATTCCTGGCTAATGCCCTGTTCTGTGGCCCCCTCCCCAGAGAGTCCCCATGCATGAGCTCCACCAGGCACAGAACTCTGCCTCATTTGGGTCCTCCGCGCCAGGGCCCCGCCCTCTCAGGCCACGCCCAGGCTAAGCGTCTACCCTTAAGCCCCACCTCATATAGGCCGGGTCCATTCGTACCTAAGGCCCCGCCCCTCAATCCCGGCTCGGGACGGCTCCAACGCCGGAGCTCCGCCTGACTTGAGGCCCCGCCCACTAGAGGTGGCTTGAGGAGGGTGTGTGATTCAGGGCTGGGCCTCCTGCTTTTCCAGGCCTGGGAACCCCTTCAGGGAGGCCAGCTCCCCTGTGTACCCCCTCCTGCAAGAATATGTGGGTGTTAGTGAAGGTAACAGAAAGCCACACAAACAGGTTGCCAGGCGATTTGATTTATGACCCCAGTCTTCCCACTGGCCCTACTTTTGTGCTTCCCTTTCCCTGGAACTGGGGAGCCCTGGGGCAGCCAGTTCCCCAGAGGCTCCCCTCCCCTGTGCTGCCAGCCTCATCAAGAGACAAGCTGCGGAATTCTCGCCTAAAATCCCCTCCACAACGCCTGCTCCCCTCCCATGGTTCCCTCACCCATCCTTCACTTTCTCTCTAGGGAGAAAGGGTGGACACACCCTTCCAAACAGACCCTCAACCTTCAGCTCTTGCTCCTTCATCCCCGTTCAACTGGCCTTCAGCCCGGTGCTCGCTCAGCACCCCTCCAGACACCTCTTCTTCCTGGCCTGCAGCATCACAGCACCCGACACCGCTGCGGTCACAGGGCGTGCCAGCACCCTCTGCTGCAGCTTCCCACCCAGCAGCTGGTGACCCTGTGAAATGTCACTCACTGGCTGTCAGGTCTGGCCCTCTGTCACCTGCCCCTAATAGACACTGTCCAATTAGTGACTGAAGCTTTAGCCTCATCCAGGAGGCTGTGACCTAACTGCACAGGTGGCCCAGGGGCTGTTCTGAGATACACTCCTCTGTTACCACAGGTTCTCCACACTTAATCTTCCATGTTTAATCTCTTATGTCTACAATGTGGATGTACAGTTCGCTGGATGAACCTTCAGGAGTCTGAACTCAAAAAAAAAGTTTCATTTATATATAAATAAACATTTCTTTGCAAATTATAAAGGTCCCCACTGCTACAGGGAGTAGCTGTGGCAGGAGACAGAATCACTCTGTGCCCTTCCTGGACAGGCAGTGGCACGAATGGCCACGGCAGAAAGACCCCACACGGAGAAGCAGTGAGTGAGGAAACTGAACACAGGAACTGGTGGGGAGGGCACACAACAAGCAGAACTTCGTGACTGAAAGGAACGCATTTAATAAAAACTGGAATACACAAAATGACATATAAATTTCAGCGTGGTACGTGGAAATGCCAAGAAAAAGAGTTCTTTCAAAAGATTTTTTGAAAAAATTCTCACGCCAGACATTTTTCATTGCTTTTAGAGAGAGAAACTCCAATCACAAGGAAGTACAGATCGGTCGCATCCCTTACGCAGGGAACCACAAGTGCCTGGATCCATGGATGGAACCCACAACACACATGTGTGCTCTGACCAGGAATTAAACCACAACTCTTTGGTCACGGGATGGCTCTACAACCTAAGAAGCCACAGGGACAAGGGCCAAGGAAAAGAGTTCTTTGTAGTAAGGGCAGCAGAGTTTATCAATGATGACCAACTGCCAATTTTCTGTCAAATAAAAACACATTGAATACTCAACAGAGAACTGAAAGACTACCCAAGATGCCCATCAATGAAACATGATTATTTCAATGGAAAGGAAAAACAAAAGCCCCTGGGAAAAAACCCCCACAATATTACAAATGTGTGAAACACATAAGAAAGATTACATTAAAGGTTATTTTAGAATGTTCTGAGTAGAGTAAAACCCTTTGACAGGTGAACAGTAACAAAAACAGTTCTTTCATTCCTGAGAAAGAGAAAGAAATAAGAGGCCAGTTTCAGGATCAACAACAGCCTTCTGAAGCAGCTGCATGTAGGTGAGGTTCTCGTGCGTGTTGGGGTCGAAGAAGCCCTTGGTGTCGTCGCCCGGGTCCTCCAGGACACGGTTCATCTCCTCGTCAAAGTAGCCGCGCTGGTAGGCCACGTGCACGGGCAGCCGGTGGCTGTGCACGGGGTCGATGATGCCGCCCGTGGCGATCTGGGCCTCCAGCAGGCGGATGCCGTGGTCCCTGACGATCAGGTCCTTCTTCATGGCCTGGAAGAGGGAGATGGGCTCCCCGGTGTAGGGGTCGGTGTAGCCGGTGACCGCGCGCTCGGCCGACAGCAGCTTGTCGCGGATCTCACCGCCCACCACACCGGCGGCCACCGCCTCGTCCACAGACAGCCGCTGGTTGCGCACCGGGTCGATGAGGAAGCCGGTGGCCGCCTGCGCCTCCAGCAGCACCAGGGCCGTGCCGGGCCGCAGCAGGCCCTTCCACATGGCCTGGTACACGCTCATCTTCTCCTGCCTGGCAGGGTCGTCCTTGGCGGGCGCCAGCACGCCCGCGATGCAGCTCGTGCCCTCCAGGTAGCGCCTGACCGAGTCCATCTTCAGCACCTCCTGGGGGCTCTTGGTGCCCTGGGCCAGCCCCCGCAGGGTCTCGGGGTCCAGCACCCCGGACGTGCCCAGCTGGGCCGCGGACACGTGCCGCCGCAGGCCCCTGAAGGACACCTTGCTGAGGCGCTCCTCTGTCTCTTCCACTATCTGGGTGAGGATGGCCACCAGGCCAGGCAGGGACAGGTCGCCGGCCGTGAGCTGGGCCAGGAGCTCCTCCCGGCGGGCCCGGGTCAGGTAGGAGGAGGACAGGATGTCCCACACGGACACCGGCTGCCCGCGAAACCGTCCGGCACGCACCTCCATGGTGGCCGCACGCAGCTCCTGCTCCTGCGGGTGCCCGGCGGCCTTGCCGTCACCGCGCCCCTGCGGGCTGGCGTCCCGCTGGCCGGGGGCCGCGTCCCCCCGCGTGCCCTGGGCCTCCTGGGCCTCCTCGGCCTCCTCGATGATGGTGGTGAGGCGGCGGGTCAGCGCGGGCAGGCCCAGCGCTCCCGAGCGGAACTGGGTCAGCAGCTGCTCCCTCCTGTCGGCGCTCACGTAGCCGGACTCCAGCACGTCCCACACGGGCACGGCCGGGCCCCGCAGGCGGCCCACCTTGACCTCCATGGTGGCGGCGCGCAGGGCCTGCTGAGGGTTCGCGGGCGCGGGGGCGTGCGCCAGCAGCGCCGTGAGCGAGGCGCCCAGCTCCTGTGGGGTCAGCGTGCCCTCCCGGTACCTGACCAGCAGGTCCTGCCGCAGGCTCTCGGACACCTCTCTGTAGAAGAGCAGCTCCCAGACGGGGACGTCCTGGCCCTCGGCGACGCCCGCCCCCGGAGGCAGGGCGACACGGACATCCTGCAGGGCGCGGCGCAGCTCCTCGCTCAGCTGCTGCAGGGCCGAGCCCTGGCGGGCCAGCTGCAGCATGTACAGCCCCGTGTCGGGGTCGCGCACGCAGCGGCGCAGCAGCCGCATGTAGGTGAGGTTCTCGTGCGTGTTGGGGTCGAAGAAGCCCTTGGTGTCGTCGCCCGGGTCCTCCAGGACGCGGTTCATCTCCTCGTCGAAGTAGCCGCGCTGGTAGGCCACGTGCACGGGCAGCCGGTGGCTGTGCACGGGGTCGATGATGCCGCCCGTGGCGATCTGGGCCTCCAGCAGGCGGATGCCGTGGTCCCTGACGATCAGGTCCTTCTTCATGGCCTGGAAGAGGGAGATGGGCTCCCCGGTGTAGGGGTCGGTGTAGCCGGTGACCGCGTGCTCGGCCGACAGCAGCTTGTCGCGGATCTCACCGCCCACCACACCGGCGGCCACCGCCTCGGTCCACAGACAGCCGCTGGTTGCGCACCGGGTCGATGAGGAAGCCGGTGGCCGCCTGCGCCTCCAGCAGCACCAGGGCCGTGCCGGGCCGCAGCAGGCCCTTCCACATGGCCTGGTACACGCTCATCTTCTCCTGCCTGGCAGGGTCGTCCTTGGCGGGCGCCAGCACGCCCGCGATGCAGCTCGTGCCCTCCAGGTAGCGCCGCACGCCCTCATCCTCCTTGACATCTTCCACGGAGCTGTGTCCTTCCTCCAGGTTCTGCAACGTCTCCTTGGTGATGATCGCTGATTGGAACAGTTCGGAGGCCGTGACTTGCCTCCTGATGCCTCGGAACCAGAACTGCCTACTGGTCTTCTCTCTCTCGTCGATCATCAGGAAGATGTTTTCCACCACCTTGTCCAACGCACGCTTCGTGTCTCTTCGGTACGTCCTAACTAACTCAATTTTTTTCTCTTCTGTGACGTATTCCGAGTTCAGCAGCTCCCACACTGAGGGCCTCTGACCCTTGTACCTGCCGACTGTGACTTCCACCCACTCAGTCTCCAGGGCCTTTCTCGTGGCTTCATCGATGTACGAGGACTCCTTTTCATCTCGGATCACAGGGAACAAAGCCCAGCCCTCCTCCTCCTTCTGGAGGCTTCTCTGCTGAAGCTCCTGGTACGTCACCTTCTCATGTGTGTTGGGATCCACAAACCTCTTTTTCATATGCTTCTGACTGGACACAAGCGGGTACATGTCCTGATGCAGACAGCCACGCCTGAAGGCCGCGTCCAGTGGGAGCCGGTGGTGGTGCCTCGGGTCCACGACGCCCCCTGTGGCCACCTGCACCTCCAGCAGTCTCAGCGCCTCCTCCCTGTCGACTAACTTCCTCTCCATGGCCTGGAGCAGCGGGAGCGTGCACCCCGTGTCTGGGTCGGGGTAGCCTTTCACAGCCCTCTCTGCATTCTGGAGCCGGTCCTTAAGGTCCTCACCCACCAGGCCGGCAGCCACGGCCTTCTCCACGGAGAGCCTCTGGTGGCTGTGGGGGTCTAACATGAACCCTGTGGCCGCCTGGGCCTCCAGCAGCAGGGCTGCAAAGCCTGTGGGGATGAGTCCCCTCGTGCTGGCCTCATAGATGCTCATCACCTCCTGTGTGGAGGGGACAGTCACACCTGCAATACAGCCACTGCCTTCTATGTAGGTCTTCACATGCTCCAGGCCGCTGAGGGCCTGTCCCCCCCGCAGGGCGTCCAAGCTCTTCCTGTCGATGATTCCAGCGTTGAACAACTCTGTGGCCGTCACGTCCCCACCAATCCCCGGCACCTTGAAGTCCTGGTGTTGCTTTTCTGTCTCTTCGACTGTGGTGGTGACGATCTCCAGTAGCTGCTGCAGACTCATGGCCTGGGCTCGGTGCTGCTGGACCAGCTCCCGCCGCCTGTCCTCCGTGAAGTACTCAGAGGACAGCAGGTCCCAGACGGACACGGTCTGACCTGCGAACCTCCCCACGTGCATCTTCATGGTCTGCGATCGCAGGCCCTGCCTCGTGGCCTCGTCGATGTACACATACGTCTCTCCTTTCTTTATGATTTGTAACATGTACAGGCCGGTCTCAGGGTCCTCCACACAGCGCTCCAGCAGCTGCAGGTAGGTGAGGTTCTCGTGCGTGTTGGGGTCGAAGAAGCCCTTGGTGTCGTCGCCCGGGTCCGCCAGGACGCGGTTCATCTCCTCGTCGAAGTAGCCGCGCTGGTAGGCCACGTGCACGGGCAGCCGGTGGCTGTGCACGGGGTCGATGATGCCGCCCGTGGCGATCTGGGCCTCCAGCAGGCGGATGCCGTGGTCCCTGACGATCAGGCCCTTCTTCATGGCCTGGAAGAGGGAGATGGGCTCCCCGGTGTAGGGGTCGGTGTAGCCGGTGACCGCGCGCTCGGCCGACAGCAGCTTCTGGTAGGTCTCCTTTCCAAACATCCCTGCTGCAAAGGCCTCCTCCACAGTCAGCTTGCGGTTTGTCACGGGGTCGATGAGGAAGCCGGTGGCCGCCTGGGCCTCCAGCAGCACCAGGGCCGTGCCAGGCCGCAGGATGCGCCTGCTCAGGGCCTCTGAGATGCTCATCCTCTCCTTCGTGGCCTGGATAAGGACTCCGGCAATGAAGTTGCCTCCTTCCAAGCAACGCCGCACGCTGTCCATCTGTGTGACCTCCTGCACTGTCCTCGTCCCCTGACTGAGTTCATCCAGCGTCTTCTTGTCGATCACCTGGGACCTGAAGAGGTCGCTGGCTGACACCTGCTTCCGGAGCCCCCTGAAGATGGCCTGTGGGGGCTTCTTCTCTGAGGCCTCGACCAGGGCAGTGAGTGCACTGACCACCTGCCGCAGAGCCGTGGCCCGCCCGGACTGGCAGAGCGCAGCCAACTCCCGCCGCCTGTGACCACTGACATACTCCGAGTGCAGTAGGTCCCAGAGCGACACGGTGAGCCCTTTGAACCTCCCGGCCCCGACGGGCACCTTCATGGCCCTCAGGGCCACTGCTGTGTGCCTGTCCACCTCGAGTGCCACGTCCTGGGGCAGGGGCAGCAGCCACAGGCCCGTGTCAGCATCTAGGACACAGCGCTCTTTGAGCTGCTGGTAGGTCACCTTTTCCCGCGAGCTGGGGTCGAAGAAGAACTTGCTGTCCGAGTCAGTCCCGGTCAGGGCCTGACTCGTCCGCTCGTCCAGGAGGCCCAGCCTGCAGGCTGCCCCCTGGGGCAGGTGCACCCCGTAGGTGGGATCCACCACACCCCCTGTGGCCAGCTGGGCCTGCAGGAGTGGGAGGCCCTTGCTCTGGGGCACGAGCCCCTTCTCCATGGCCTGCCACAGCGAGAGGGGGCCCCCTGAGTAGGGGTCCGTGTACCCGGTCGCCGCCCTCTCTGCCTGTTGGAGCTGCTCGCTCAACATCCCACTCACCAGGCCGGCCTTGACTGCATCTTCCACGGATAGTCTCTGGTTGGTCAGAGGGTCCACGAGGGAGCCCGAGGCCACCTGGGCCTCCAGCAGACTCTGCCCCAGGCCCGCGGGCAGGAGGCCATCCTTCACAGCCTGGTCGATGCTGGCCTTGGTCCCCGACGGCTGCAGCAGCACGCCGGCCACGCAGCCTGTGCCCCACAGCCAGGCCTTCACCGCAGGTTCCTCGACGACCTGGGCCGGCGATCGGGAGCCCTGAGCCAGTGCCGCCAGGGTCTCCTGGGTGATGATGCCGGCGTCCAGCAGCCAGACAGCGGGAACCTCGCCCCGAGGGCCGGGCACTGTGACCTGGGCCTGTGCCAGGAGCTTCGCCTCCTGCACCCAGCTCCGCACAGCCGTCTGCAGCTGCTGCACAGAGGTCTTCCCCACCCGGAAATCCTCCAGGAAGCCCCTGCGCTGCTCTTCTGTGAAGTGGCAGGACATCAGCAGCTCCCAGAGGGATGTGCCATCCTCAGCACCCTGAGTGGCTTGCAGGGTCTCCTGGACCTGCTGGTCTGTGGGGATGGCAGGAGCACTTTCCTTTAGGGGCAGGAGGTACAGGCCGGAGGCCTCGTCCTTCAGACACTGTCGCAGAAGCTGGACATAGCTGGTATGTCCCCGGCCATCTGGTGTGGGGTAGGTCTCGCAGGAGCTGGACAAGGCCGTCTCCATTTCCTGGTCGATGCAGCCACGCTCGGTGGCCACAGGCATGGGCAGGTGGTAGTGGCCTGTGGGGTCAATGACCCCTCCCGTGGCCACCTGCGCCTCCAGGAGGCGGGCAGCCTGCTCCTTGTGGACCAGGCCCTTCTTCATGGCTTGGAACAAGGACACCCGCTCCCCAGAAAAGGGGTCCCTGAAGCCGGTCACGGCAGCCTCAGCCCGTCTCAGCCGGGCAAACAGCTCGGGCCCCACCAGCTGCCTGCGCACGGCCTCCTCCACTGACAGGCTCTCCAGGCTCTGGGGGTCGGTGAAGGCTCCAGTGGCTGCCTGGGCCTCCAGCAGCGCTAGGGCCACTCCTGGCCCCAGCAGCTTCTGCTTCATGGCCTGGTAGAGGCTGAGCCTCTGGTTGGAGGACGGCAGCAGGACGCCGCCCACAGCGCCTGAGCCACGCAGGTACCTGCGGACGCCGTCCATGTGGAGCAGGGCCTCGGAGCTGACTGCCCCGGCCAGCAGCTGGCCCAGGAGCTCCTGGTCGATGATGTGGGCCTCCAGGAGCTGGTAAGGGGTGACGTGTCCCCGCAGTGCGGGCAGCATGATGCCCGCGTACCTTGCCGACTCCCTCTGCAGCAGCTTCGCCACCTGCTCCAGGGAGAGCTCGCGCCGCCGGTAGCTGTGCAGGAGCTGCCTCCTCCGGGCCTCACAGAGGCACTCCGAGTTGAGCAGGTCCCACGCAGACACCTGCTGCCCCTGGAACCGCCCATAGCTCACAGACAGCAGCCGGCTCTGGAAGGCCCGCCGGGTGGTGCGGTCCACCAGCTGGGGCTGCTCACTGCTGAGCGGCAGCAGGTACAGGCCGGTCTCGGCGTCGCGCACACAGCGCTCCAGCAGCTGCATGTAGGTGAGGTTCTCGTGCGTGTTGGGGTCGAAGAAGCCCTTGGTGTCGTCGCCCGGGTCTGCCAGGATCAAGTTCAGCGTCTGGTCGAAGTAGCCGCGCTGGTAGGCCACGTGCACGGGCAGCCGGTGGCTGTGCACGGGGTCGATGATGCCGCCCGTGGCGATCTGGGCCTCCAGCAGGCGGATGCCGTGGTCCCTGACGATCAGGCCCTTCTTCATGGCCTGGAAGAGGGAGATGGGCTCCCCGGTGTAGGGGTCGGTGTAGCCCGTGACTGCGCGCTCGGCCGACAGCAGCTTCGCAAACAGGCTGGGCCCGATGACGCCCGCCTTCAGCGCCGCCTGCACAGAGTACCTCTTGTTTTCTTTCGGGTCGATGAGGAAGCCGGTGGCCGCCTGGGCCTCCAGCAGCACCAGGGCCGTGCCGGGCCGCACTAGCCCCTTCTTTTGAGCCTCGTAGATGCTGAGCCGCTCCTGGGAGTCAGGAAGCAGCAGGCCGGCGATGCAGCCGGTGCCCTGCAGGTACCTCTGCACTGAGTCCAGGTTGCCTACATGCTGGGCTGTGGTCTGTCCCCGCGCCAGCTGCTCATACGTGTCCTGGCCAATGATCTCTGCTTTCAGCAGCTCCCCGGGTGTCACAGGGACCCTCAGCCCAGAAAAGGTGGTCTTGGCAGTAGCCGCAGCCTGCTCCAGCGTGGCCCTCAGCACAGTGGCCAGCTCCTCCACTGACAGCCTCCCTTGCTCGTGCTGCTGCGCCAGCGCCGCCCTTTGCTCCACTGGGACGGCCTCGGAGAAGAGCAGTTCCCACAGGGATGCGGGCTGCCCCTGCAGCGTGCCCGCCGAGACGGCGGCCGTGGCTGCGCTCAAGGCCTGCCGGGTGCTGTGCCCGATGAACGGGGGTGCCTGTGGCCCCTCTCCATGGGCCTCTCCCGAGAGGGGCAAGAAGGCCAGCCCTGTCTCTGGGTCGGTGACACAGCGGGCCAGCAGCTGCCCGTAGCTGAGGCTCTCCTGCGTGCGGGGGTCCGAGAAGCCAGAGGCCTGTGAAAGATGCTGATGCGTCTCCTCGTCCAGGCAGCCACAGCGCAGGGCAGCCTCCAGGGGCAGCCGGAGCCTGCGGGCAGGACACACCAGCCCACCCGTGGCCAGCTGGGCATCCAGGAGCCGCAGCGCCAGAGGCCTGTCCACCAGCTCCTTCTTCATGGCCTGGAAGAGGGGGATGCGGGTGCCGCTGAAGGGGTCGTGGAACCCGGCCACTGCCTGCTCAGCCTCCAGGAGCTGCCCATGCAGCTCTGGGCCAACCAGGCCTGCCCTGACCGCGCCGTCCACGCCAAGCCTCCGGCCAGTCGCCGGATCCACCAGAGCACAGGTAGCAGCCTGGGCCTCGAGGAGTGGGAGTGTGGCGCCCATTGGGAGCAGATGCTCAGCGACAGCCTGGAAGAAGCTCTTCTTGCGGCCGGCGGGCAGCAGGACGACCCCTGCCACACTGCCAGTGCCCTGCAGGTAGCGCCGGACCTGGGGGCGGGCACTCACGTCCTGCACCGACAGCCTGCCCTCCCGCAGGCCCTGGGCTGTCTCCTCGTCCAGGATCCCAGCCTCCAGCAGCTCTGCCGAGCTCGCTGCCCCGCTCAGCGTGCGGAAGGTGGTCTGCAGCGGCAGCAGAGCCAGCCCCATGGGGGGGGCCCGCACGCAGCGGTTCAGCAGCTCACTGTAGGACAGCCGCTCCAGGGTATTGGGGTCCAGGAAGCCTGGCTCACGCTCCAACAGGCCACGCTGCGTCTCCTGGTCCAGGAGGCCCTGCTGGCAGGCCAGCTCCGGGGCCAGGCGTACTCCCCGGATGGGGTCCACCAGGCCCCCTGTAGCCAGCTGGGCCTCCAGCCAGCTCCACCCCAGTGCCCTGTCTACAACCTCCTTCCCAATGGCCTGGAAGAGGGCCAGCTTCTCACCCCCGTACGGGTCAGGGTACCCAGTGACCGCACGCTCTGCAGCCAGCAGCTTCTCCTTCAGCTCCAGGCCCACCAGACCCCGCTGCAGGGCCTCAGACACGGGGAGAAGCTGGCCCTGGGCAGGGTCTACGAGGCCCCCAGTGGCAGCCTGGGCCTCCAGCAGAGCCAGCCCGAGCCCCTCCGGCAGGAGGCCCTGCTTCATGGCGGCATAGAGACTCAGGGCCTGGCCGGACGCCGCCACCTGCACCCCGGCAACGCTCCTGGGCTGGGGCCCCGGGGGAGTGCTGGTTTCCTGCACAGCCTTCGTGGTCTTGGGGACGATGGTTGGCTTGGTGCCACTGGTGACCAGGACATCAAGAGGGGAGGCGTGGCCATTCATGGTGCCCGGCTGGTTGTGCAGAACTGACCTGCCCGAGATCCGTTGTGTCTGGTCCCTGCAGAGGAGGGAGAGGGTCTGTCAGGGGCCCTGGGACGGCCCAGGAGGGTGGTCAGGGGTCAATCCCAGATCCTAGGTGACCCCTGGGGGACTGGATCAGCACCCAGGTGAGGTCCCTCCCCTCCCTTCCCCCTGGCCAGTCCCAGGAGGGACCAGGTGAGCACTGGGACCCCAGGCAGGCCTGGGTCCTCGGGCCTCCCTCCAGCTCCAGCACCTTCACCGCCCACCCCGCCCGCCCGGAGGGCCCTGTTGTCCGGGCCTGGCCTCTGCCCTGTGCCCCCCGGAGGCGTCCACACCTCCCGCCGCAGGGCCTTTCCCTTTGCTCCCCGAGGCTTCTCCCCATCACTCCGTGCTGTGGACCTCGGCTCCCACCTTGTGCTTCTCCCTGTGACCCTCCAGCTCCCAGCTGGGCTGCAGCCACACACACTCTCTCTTCTACCCTCGGGCCCCATCCTGGGACCCCCAGGCCCCCCCTCAGCCTGGCTCTGTATTCGCCTCTGCCCACCTGGACCTGGGCTCTCAGTGTGGCTTCTCTGCGCCCACGGCCGGGGGCCGGGCCACCACAGATTCAGGGCCTGTGGCTACTCCTGTGGGGCTGTGGGTGGGGCCAGGCGTGGCTTCTGGCCCTGCGGGTCGTGGTCAGTGGGCTGAAAGCCCAGCAACCCCCCTGCTGTCCCCTCTCAGCAGACAGCTGTGTGCACAACTCCCCAAGCTGCAGTGACAGGTGCCTGGCCCCTCACCCAGGCCTGCCTCTTCCTTGCTGGGTTACACTGTGTCCCCAGAAAGAGACGTCCCAGCCCTCACCCCCCGTCTACGTGACTGTGGCCTTGTTCAGAAACAGGGCTTTTGCAGATGTTGTCAGGACACGGTCACCCTGGAGCAAGGAAGGACCTGAGCCAACACGCCTTGTGTCCCTGGGCAGACAGACACACGGACAGCGCCGGTGGGGCTGGAGGCAGGCCGGCGTGACACAGAACGCCAGGTTCCCTCCAAAAGCCGGAGGCGCCAACGCGGACTCTGCCTGTAAGAATTTGCTTCCGTCGTTTCCGGCCTCGGGGCGGCGGTGACGCCCGGGGAGCCATCCCCACCTCACTTCCCCAGGAGTGTCCCCACAGCCCCCTCCCAGTCCCCGTCCTCGCCTCCCCCCACCCCTGGCCGGCTCCCCGTGGCTCACAGCTTAAACTCCCGCACTCCACCCGTGGTCCGGGGAGAGGCCGGGCCCGTGTCTGCCCCCTGCCCCCACTCCGCCGCCTCTGGCGAGGCGACCTTGGACTCTGACTGCCAACTCTGACGAACCTGTCTTGGGTCTGGCGGCCCCTGACCTCCAGGTCATGGGACATGGGGAGCCTGGTCCCTGGTGACAGGGCTCTGCTCCGTCTCCACTCACCCACGAACTCGGAGGGCTCCTCGAGGCGGCCCCAGCCCCTAAATCTGCCAGCGAGCCCAGCCTGTCCGAGTCCCGAACCGCAAGTCAAGCCGCCTCCCGGATGTCAGTGCCCAGCGGCCTCATGCACAGCTTCAACCGCCTCAGTGCCCACAGCCACAGGCCCCTCAGCGCCTCAGCCCTGAACCCCCGGCTGGCCCCACGGGGGTGCCCCCCCCCCAGGCCCATCTCATGTCGGAGCCCTTGGCCAACCTGCAGCCCAGAGCAGGAGGGCCAGCAAGGGAACACCCAGGTGGGGACCTGGTGGGGAAACCCGGCCAAGCCCACCCCCGCCTTCAGCGGGAGCGGGAACCCTGCCCCTCCCCCCCTCCTGCCCCTGCACAGCTGCTGGGTGGGAGGCTCCCGGGGACGCCCTGTGGCAGGGCTGCCGCTCAGGCTCCCAGGCTCGGACCAAGGGCGCCAGGCCAGAGGCAGGGCAGGGCCTCAGCGCTGCGGCTACCACCCTCCCACCCTCCTGAGGGGCGCTGCTGCCCGGGAGGGTGTGCTCAGGGCACCGTGCCGGACGTTTGAGAAGATGTGACCAGCTGGACAGCAGGAGCCCATGCAGACAGCTGGGGCCTCGTGGTGGCCATCTCCCCAGGGTGAGGCAGGCTGAGGGGTCCCATGGTGAGGGAGACACTGAGGGTGTCTCAGAAACACTGGCTCACAGGAAGGTCCACTGCGTCCCCCAGGAGGGGGACCACACGGGGTCCAGGAACCCAGGGCTGGGAGCATCTGTGACCCGCCATCCCCACACCTTCTCTGAAGCTCCCACGACAGTGGGTTTGGATGTCCTGGTCCCAGAGGATGACCACTTCCACCAGGGGACACAGCGCTGGTCCCTCTGAGCTGATGGCCACAGCCACTAGCAAGGCTCTCAGGCTCCTGTGTTCAGGGCCATGAGGCCAGAGTGGCACGACCTGCCTGGCCAGGGAGCTGGTCTGACCACCACGAGGAGGCGGGGCCTGTGGCAGGGTCGGGGCACAGAGTGTGTCCAGGTGGCCCACTCGGCTACTCCCCTACGTGGTTCTGGCAGCAAACAGCCAAATCAACTGCCCTGCCCTGCCCTGGCCTAAGCGAGGGCCTCAGGGCAGGGCACCTGGGGTGGCCGAGACCCCCCGCCCACCTCCTCCTTACGTGTTTCCCCAGGAAGAGATGCCCACCGGCACCCAGGGAGTGGGCGCGGTGTGATCGATCATGGCGGACGCAGGGCTGCCCTGACCGCCCTCCTGGGGTCCGTGAGACTGCCCTGCAGGCCGGCTCGTCTCTGTCCATCTGTGTCCCCTTTTTCACCCACAGGCCACCTGGAGGCACTCCCTAGTACTCCCAGCGTCAGACTCTGCCCCTGGACCGAGCCGGGCACGTGCCTGGCTGCCCCCCAGCAGCTTTCCGACTCGAGCTGTGCAGCTGGCATCCAGCCTGCTCCGCCCTGGCAGGAGCTGCGGGAAGTCGGAACACTGCGCTCGTCCAGCGTGTCCAGCAGGGACGGGGGGCGGGAGGGAGGAGAGACACCTCTCTACCCAGCAAACAGTCACCTTGGCGGCAGGACAACCAGGTGAGCCCAGCTGTGTGTGGCTCGGCCAGGACAGGAGACCCAGAGGGGTTCAAGGAAACTCAAGTTCTGGGCACAGAGGGGACTCCTGGGGGGAGGGGGGGTGCCTGAGGGACACAGACACCGGGAGTCGGGGCTGTGCCTGGGAGCGGGTGCCTGGAGTCTGCAGTGGGGATCCTGGGAGGGCGACTGGACACGGGGGGCTGGGCTTTGGAAGACACAGGCCAGGGCGCGTGAAGGGTGTCCCGAGTCGTGGCCCTGTGCAGAAGTAGGTGCACTGTGGGAAGGGGCCGTGGCTCTGAGGCTGGAAGAGGGAGGCCGAGCAGACCCCCCAACACCCGTCAAGAGCAACAAAGAGCCAAGGAAACCTGAGAAGGGAGGCCCCTCTGGTGGCTTCCCTGGAATGGCCCCACCCGCAGGCCCCAGGCCACGAGCGGGGGAGGCCATTCCTGAGACCGGCAGGTTCGCATTTTTGGAGGCGGGGCACCACCCTGTCGGCCCAGGGTGGGGGTGGGAAGCTCGCTGGCTGTCCACCTGGTCAGCACAGACCCAGACAGGGACCTTTGCCCAATTTCGGGCCGGGGCTGGAAGGCCCGCCCAGGTGCAGACGGATGGACAGCAATAGCCAGACAGAATCTCGGCGTCACAGCCAAGGGTGGGGCACCGGACGGGCAGAACCCCTGTACCTCCGCCTCCCAAGGGTCCTGAGATGACCCCGCACGGGTCATCCCAGGTGTGGCTCCCGCACGGGTGACGCACTGAGGGAGCGTCAGCACCCAGGCCCTCGCGCGGGAGCCACACCTCCCTCTCAATCTGTCAGCCTAATTGCCTCGGCCCCGGGTGCCAAGGTCTGCTCCCATCGCCAACGGCCCCTCCCCCGCCCCCTGCCCATCGAGGGCGGGGGACGCGGAGGAATCGGACCAGACCGGCAGGGCCCCTCCCACAGAGGCGCACCCGTCCTGCCAGGAATCCGCCGGGCGGGTGAGACCCCCGCCCGCACACGGAACCCCAGTCTCCCCACAAGCACCTCCGGCTGCTCCAACGCCGCGCACGAGGGCTGGTAGCAGGGGGCTGTGGCCGCAGCGCCCCGCTCTGCCCGGGCCCCCGCGCGGGCCCGGAGCTCAGACTGCCCGGGGCCGGACGAGCGTGAGCGCCACCCGCACCCCTTCCCCAGCCTCAGCGGCCGAGCCCGGCCGAGCGCGGCGCAGGAGTTTCGGTTTCGCCGGGCAGCCCGCTCGCTCAGCCCCGGCGCCCCACCTGCGCACTCCAGGGCCGGTCGGTGCGCAGTCCCCAGGCTCTCTCTCCACGGCCGGCGCCGGGGCCGCCGGGATTTAAACCTGCTCGGCCCCTCCCTGCGGCGCGGCCCCGCCCTCCTCTGCGGGCGGTGGGCGGTGGCCTAGTGGGGGCGCCCCGAAGCCTGGGGGCGGGTAGACTCAGAGAACCGACGCCCCGCGACGACCCCTGGCCGGCCGGCCGTGAGCACCCGAAGGCAGGGGCGCCCGGAGGTGCGGGGATGGAGGCTGCGGAGGGGCAGGGTCCTCTCCTTCCCGCCCCGGCCCCTTTCTGGCCCCTCGCCAGTCACGGCGAGGAATGCCCGGCGGACGCCGCGGCGGCAGGCGGGTGCATTTCGTGTCCACCAGGACGGCAAAGCCGGCATTTGAATGGAGTTTGCAAGGGAAATACAGACCTGTCGGGACAGGGACACGCGGGTTTGCTTTGCAAAACGTGACTTTATTGCCCGAGTAGGACTGGAGGGCTGGGGCAGGCTGCGGGTTGCCCACCCCTCTCCCCGCTGTCGCTGTACTCAGGGCCTGCTCACTCCCTTGGGGCCGGCTTCCGGAGCTTAATCCTGAGTGGGCTGAGCCAGGCTGTCCTGAGTTCCCTTCCGTGTGCCCCTCCTTGGCCTTGACCTTGAAGAGCTGGGGTCCCTGAGTCCCCAGCAGCCTCCCAGTCCTGTCTGAAAGGGAGGGCCAGGCCTCACCCCAAGGGTCCAGGAGCTCCCCCTGAGCACAGAGACCTCCTGTCCACACAGGGGTCCCCAGGGCCCCTCAAATGCCCATCCCAGCACTGACCTTCCTGGGCAGGAGACGACTGGGGGCTCTGAGGATGGAGGACGTGACCTTAGGGGCGGGCCTGCTGGGGACCACGGCCCAGGACAAAAACCTCTCATGGATCTTCTGGCTGGTCCTTCCCTTCGCTGCCCAGACATGCCAGACGGACAAGGGCAGAGTAGGTGCCGCGCCCCCAGGGCAGGGCCTGAGGCCTCCCTTCCATCTCGCCCCGAGGGCTCAGGTGCCAACACCCCCCAGGGCCTCACCTCTGCCTGGGTCGTTCTTGACCAGATACTCATCCAGGGCCACCCAGCCACCTCCAACTCGCACCATGAGGGAACTTCCGGACACCTGCACAGGCTGGGGGAGGGTGCTGGGGTCAGTTCCCACAGCTCTGCCCGCAGCACCACCCACCAGACCCAGGCTCACACCTGCTCACCGAGGGTCCCCGGACGCTGGGCCGGCCTCTGGGCATTTGTGGGCTCCTCTCTGTCCATGTCCCCCACACTGGCCATGCTGTGTGACTGCTGCTGGCTTCTGAGGAGCCCTGACACAGAGTAGTGAGGTTTGGTGTGAACCCACGTCCCTCCAAGGTATGTGGGGCCAACCGCACCCCCCCAGCCCTGCTCACCAGGTGCCGGGACACTGTCCACGTCGTCCTGCCCGGAAGCGTGGCCCGTGGCCCAGAGTATGCCCTGGAGCAGCTTCCTCCTGTGGCCGAGCTGTTGCAGGAGGTGCTGCCTGGCCATGAAACCCAGGTGTGGGCCGGCCGCTCACTGTGGGAAGGGGATGCGAAGCTGGCCAGGCCTGGGTCTCTCTCATGTGTCCACAACTGGGTGGGCTGCAGGTGGCCGGCCCTGGTCCTCGTCTGGATGGCTCTGCTCCCTGCGGCTCCAGCTCCCTGTGGTGGCCTCCAGCTCAGCTCTTCCGGGACCCACTGTCCTGCTCCCCAGGCCTCTGGGCAGTCCCTGGCTGGGGTCCATTCCCCGGGACCCTGGGCACTCCCTGGCGGGGTTCCCTCAGAGCCAGCACCTTCCCAGGAGCTCACCTGCACGGCTCTAAGGGCCTCAGGAGACCGGCAAGGTGAGCCCCCTGCCCAGCACTGCCCTCTGCACTCCCTGCTGCCACTGCCTCCTGAAGCTGGGGCCCTGACCCGAGCCAGCGGCTGGGCTCCCCTAGCCCCCAGGAGCTGTGCGCAGGCCTGCAGGCCACCTGCTTCCCCAGAGCACCTGCGAGTGGGGCACTTATAGGGCGTGATCCCAGGCCACCTGAGAGCAGGGTCACCGTGCCGACCCCAGTCACAGCTCCCACCTTCATCCCACAGGGCTCAGCCTCCGTCAGCCTGTGGGGCGGTGCGAACAGGTCCTCCACACAGGTGAGTGTCACTGTCCCCTCCAGGACACGGGGCCTACAGCAGCAGAGTGGCAAAGGTGGGTGGGAGGCCGGGCTGGGGGGGAGTGGGTGGGCACAGAGCAGAGTGGCAGGCTGACCTCTCCGTCAAGGGGCTGGGCAGCACCACCCAGTGGCCCCGCGGCTTCAGCAGCAGGCCCAGGTGGCAGGTGCGCTCCCAGGGGCTCCGTCCTCCCGGGGCAGGGCTCCTCCACAGCAAGGGGGACGTGACACGGGCTGGCCCACCCAGCTCGGCCAGAGGTGCCTGCTCAGCGGGGAGACCGCAGCTTCGCTGGCGCCATGGGGCCGGGCACTCAGGGCTGGGGTGAGAAAGGCCAGCAGGGTCCCTCCCTACTACAGGTAGAGCTGTGTCCCCCAAATTCACATCTGTCCTAATTCCTGAGCTCCTCAGAACGTGACTGTAATTGGAAATGTGGCCCTTGCAAGTACGTTCAGCAGGAGGAGACCCAGCAGCAAGTGAGCAAGGGTGGCCCCGAGTGTCCTTGTAAAAAGGGACATTCAGATGCTGACACACAGAGGGGAGACAGAGTGAAGACGCAGGGAGCTGGTGGGGCCGTAAGCGGAAGACAGGGGTCTGGGGCCGAGCCCCCCTCACAGCCCTCAAAGGCCCAGCCCTCACAACCGAGAGCCACCAGCGGCTGCTGTTTAAGCTGCTCAGGCAGCCCCAGCAAACGAACACGGTCCCAGGTCCACGGACTAAGGCAGGTGGAGTGGGGGGGGCGGGCCTCAGGGCGGGGGGCACCCGGGACAGCCCAGCCCCCGTTACTGCCGGGAGAGGGGGATGAGGGGCAGCGCCAGGGTGGAGCCCACTCAGGGACTCCAGGCTGGACCATAAGTGTGTGCCTGAAACCGGGAGAGATGCTCAACCTGTTCTTCAGAATTAAACGTCTATCGTTTGCTCCCTGTGTGTGTTTTCTCTCTAGTTAGTTCATCAGCAGAGGTCGTGAGTGGCCTCACTGTGCTCTCTGCTGGGCCTTGGCCGCCAGCGAAGGTAGAAGGTGAGCCGGGCCCCTGGGCCTGTCTGCCCCACCCAAGAAAGCTTCGAGGCTGGGCAACGCAGTCCCCACGGGCCCTTGGCTGCCTAGACCCACCTCGGGGGGCCGGCAACCAGGGCCCCCCGCCCCAGCGGGGAGAGCAGGGGAGCCTTGTCATGGGGGTCCGAGGGTGTTCAAGGGATGGGGGTTGAGTCTAGAAAGTGCCACAGAGGTCTTCTGGTCAGCCCTGCCTGCCCAGCCTCCTCCACAGAGGACCGGTCTCCTCTGCAGGTCCCGCCCACCAGCAGATAGGGGGCCAGCCACAGAACCCCGCATTGCCCTGCTTCCCTGTGGTCACCCCTCTCCCCCCCAGAACTCCTCCCTGGCCCCCCCAATTCCAAAGCACCTGCAGGGCTTGGGCCCAGCTGCCCTCAGGCCGCAGCCCCTCCGCGCCGGCCGACGCCTCCTCCAGGCCCCACCAGACCAGTTCTGCCTGCCCCCAGGTGGCCTTCTGCCCAGTGTCCTCCTCCTGAGTCTCTGACCAGAACGTGGCTGGGGAGGGAGGAGACTTGGAGAGCCCGGCCTCGGGCACGACTCCCGACCCCAACCCACCTGGCCCGGCTCCCTGCGCACCTGGAGCTCCACAGCCCCCATCCTGGGCCTGGTTGCCAGTCCCCACCGCTATGAGCTCCGCAGGCCCTGGAGCGCCCAGTGGCAGGTGTGGTTCCCGGATGGATGCTGTGTGTGCCACCACCTGGCCAGGAGCCTCTGCCCACTGAGCCAGCTGCTCTAGCCGCTCTGCCAGCCCGGCCAGCTGGGCCTTCAGCTGCAGGAGGAGAGCAGCGTCGTCCCAGGCAGCCAGGGCCTGGGGCCCATAGCTGCCCAGCCAATCCTGGCAGAGGCCAGAGGAGATGGGGCAGGGTGGAGACCCTTCCCCCAGCAGGCCAGTCCCCAGCCCTCCTGGCCCACCCTGGGGGCCGTGGGCTTGGCCCAAACACCTGCTCTTGGCCCTTGAGCCCTTGACATTCCGAGGCTGCCCCGGCCAGTTCCAGCTGGGCTCCCAGGCTCGCTGGGGGCGAGGGCTCCGTGGACGCTGTGCCCAGGCCACACAGCACTGCCCGCTGGGCACAGACAGTAGCCCCCATCAGCTGCGCCAAATCCTGGAGCTGTTCCAGCTGCTCCCTCACCAGCCGAGCTTCGTCCTCTGCAGCCACAGGGGGGGGGAGGCCGGGGGGGGGAGGCTGGGGTGAGGGGTATGGGCACCAGGAGGGCCCCTGCTCTAGTACCTGCACCACGTTCCGAGGCAGCTCAAGAGGGACTGGGTCCCCAAGCAGGAGCACTGCGGACACCTTTGCTGACCTGCCAGACCAAGCCACCCACCACTCACCTTCGAGCAGCTCCAGCAACCTCTGGCCAGCCTCCAGGGCCCTGTCCAGGCCCTCTGAGCAGGCCGCAGGCCCCTCACACCCATCCTGTGAATACACACCCAGTGAGCCTGAGGCCAGGGCCCCGCCCCACCACGGGCCCTGGGCTATACCTGCGGGTGCCCTACGGCCCCTTCCTGCCTTGAGGCCCCACCTGGCCCTGCCCGAGCTGGGTCAGGGGCTGCTCGCCCAGAGTCAGCTGCACCAGGACTGCCCCGAGGGCCTCCTTGAAGCTCCGGGCCGCTGGCACCAGCCGCTCCAGGAGCCCACACCTGGGGACCGAGACGAGGTGGTCAGCAGCACATTCCCCGCACCAGCATGCACTGTCAGGACCCCCGTGGCCTCACCTGGCCTCTGCCTGCTGCACCAGGCGGTCCCACCGGGCCCGCAGCTCCACCGGGCTCCGTGCCTCCTGCAGCGCCCGCTCCACCTGCAGCGCCCGCTCCCCTAGCAG